CGTTCCTGTGACAGAATGCTTAACAGAAATGCGAGAACTTTTGTTCTGACATGTTTGAAATGTGTTTTGTTGAAAACGTTGGACATTTTGGAAATGTTGGAAAACTTTCGAATGTTTAGATGCTTTCATAATTACAGAATTGTTGCCAATCGGGGCAGGAATCTTTTGGATACGGAGGAAACATTGACACGAACCCTGAACCCAAGCAAATGGTAGAACTTACTGTGGATGTAATACCTGATCGGGGTGGCACCATATTTACTTACTTACTTCTCTATATTTCGATTTAGATGCATATTTATACGCATGTTTTTTGAGTGAGAGAGAGAGAGAGTTATTTCTGTCTAACATTTAACTTTTGTTCATTGATCTATGTATTTGTACAACCACCCGCACCCATGCACGCCTGTCCTCTAAATCTCGGCTTGAGGAGTTCGCGGGTCATTGGGATTGGGGGAGTTGCCTCCAGATCGTACCTTTCGATGTTCAACTACGAAACTCTCGCTGCGGATTCTAACGGATTCGAAACGCAATCAATTGAAGACGCCTTGGATTCAAGATTCAAGATTCAAGGTGCCCGGGAGAACTTTGCCCTTCTCCTTGAATCTTGAATCTTGGCTCCGCGGCGCATTCAATTGAATATGTTTTGAACCCATTTACATGCGGACTGTTGCGGTTTGACCTCAAAACGTATTCAGTGGAACACGCCTCGGATCCAAGATTCAAGGTGCCTGGGAGAGCTTGTTTGCCCTGCACCTTGAATCTTGAATCTTGGATCCGCGGCAGATTCATATTATGAAAGACGGTTTGAATGAGTTTGAATACGGGCTGTTGCGGTTTGACCATTGCATTTTGTGTCTCGAGCCTGTTGTTCTGTGAATATTCGTCTGGTTGTGCTCTATAAACATGGTGCTGTTCATCACGGAAACTTAACACTGGTAATACTGCGCTTTTTGGGTTGCTGCTTTGTTGTTGGAATTCTCTCTTCTTCTGTGACTACTAAATTACTGTCGCTGATGATGGAACGCAACCGCCTTACCCTATGTGTTTGACTCTTTCAGAAAACACGGCTTCAACTGGTGCTTCCCTAGCCAGTGCAATATCAGCAATTCACGGCAAACTCTGACATACAGGAGTGTTTAATGGCCGCCATCCTTTATTAGGTGCCAAATTTGTTAAAACAATTTTACACAAATGGCATATCCTAGTTCGGTAGGTTGGGCATGACCTAATAATAATGCACAGGCTTAAGGCAAACTAAACCCAGAAAAATGTCAAACTCTAAACTGGTATAGAAACAAGAACGCGAGTACAGCACCCAACAGGTGTAATAAGTGCCGAAATCCTTATAAGCAACTCCTCCTCCCCGTTCTCCCCCTCCCACGACTCCTCCACCTCCTGCTTCTCGTCCTTGCACTGTCGTCCGTACTTCCTAGGCCTGCTCCTCCTTTTTCTCCTACAGAACTCGGCAGCAGCAAATACTTAACAAACGTGCATTTCTAACACCATGCTGATTTGCAAGCTCTAATAATCTCACCGGAGAGACTTGGGAGAGGGCATGTGCTGCTACCATGTACAGTTCCGGCTGTGCAGGCATTGGCCTCCAAAAGCACTTCAATCTTGGACAATAAAAGGACGTGTTACAAACGTAAGCTTGATCTTTTGGAACCTGCCCAGGCTTACTAGATTACGGTAACAACTACGTTCACAAAATACACTTTTTGTCACCCGCTGAACAGGCATGTAGCCTGGAAGGTAAGGCAATGCCATTAGGACCATGAAGAGATTAACCGGCGGTGCCTGACGGCTCCTGGCTCCCTGAAAGTAGCAAGCTGTTATTTACAGCAGTATCCCAGGTACCTCGGTATGTTGGAATTGTTAACAAGGTTTAACAAGGACCTACGTGTGCAAGAAGATCATCATGATTTCCGGCGAAACGAAGAACTTGAAAGTTCGGTTGGAGAGCACTCCAAGAGAAGTGGAACAGGTCAAAATGCGGCCTTCTGCTTCAGCTTCCGACTCCGGAGTCGGAGTCGGAGACACTTTCTGCCCCCAGTGTTTCGCACGTTTCCTTGACGCCCTTGCGCCGGCTTTTCCTCTCCGTGGATTTTCGCCGGGGCATGCTAACTCACGTCTTCGCTTCTTCTCCATGCCCTACTTCCGAGTCCCCAAGCTGCTTCGACAGCATACCCTGAAGGCCGAGCGGCAAGCGGACGACCTTCCCAATCCAGCGCGATAGGCCTTCATGCACGAATTTCATGTCCTAGCCTACACCTGGCCCGCCCCGGCCGTCCCGACCAACCTCCTGCTTGCACAGCGCCCGAGGTAACAGCATCAAACATGCGCTTGCATGCTCCGAGCGTCGTCCATCCGAGTTGCGAGGGGTCAGTGCCTGGAGTTCCGATTGAGACATTGAGCAGATCCCTTCGACTTTCGAACAAATTCTAACATGACTTAGAAAGCACCAAACGACTTGCGGACTTTCTTACATACACACAAAACCCATCTGCTCGACACCATCTCACAAGATCCCCGCATAGCGATGAAGAATTCCGAGCTGCTCCCTGGCAGAGACTCTGCCTCCGCGATCAACTTCTGCAAAGCTGGAGCTACACTGCTCCCCACCTGGAAATAGGGAGACATACGGCTCCATACCGTCACCCCCCGGGTATGCCTACAGCCCCTTCATGTTGCCAGATAATCTATGCCCGCAGGGATAGCATGGTCCTTACTTATGCTACAATCTTACGCATATTGACTGCTTATGCTGTGATTGCTCATTTTCCCAACGACAATACCATCACTCGTCTGTGATTCACGTCCAGCTGCCTGTAACACTTGCACAGATGTTCAAACAAGAAACGGAGAAGCCGTTTCCAAGACAGAACCCGAAGAACAATATAGATAGCAATCAACGACACTAAGAATCATGACAATAGCTTTCGCAACATCAGAACAAAAAGGCTGCGGAACTTCTTTCGGCCTTTTTGCTCCTCTGATTTTTTTCGGGGGAGTAGAGTACCTGATAAGCGGGCATGGCGCTGGTGATGGCCATGATGATCCTCATCACGATGAATTGGTTTATATGGCGGAGGAGGAGAATGATGCCGATGATGACAACACGTGATGGTAGATGTGGCTGGAAATCCTGATGATGATGATGATGATGATGATGATGATGATGACGATGGTGGTGGTGGTGGTGGTGGTGGTGGTGGTGGTGGTGGCGGCGGTGGTGGTGGCGGTGGTGGTGGTGGCGGCGGCGGTGGTGGTGGTGGTCGTGGTGG